CATCTTTTCTAGTTGATAGTTTAACAAATTTGAAATTGCTATTTGTCGAGAAAATTTTGAATATGAAAGCACCTTTCACATGCATCCTGTGTCTTAAGTAAGTCCCATGCATTCTGGGGGAAACTGATCAGAAGATGAAACCTAGAAGCATAATTATATAATAAATGCACTCCGATTGGATGATCCCGACTCTCTTTTCTCCATCTCTATAGATATTAAGACCTATGATGTAGAATGCGTAATCTAGGATTTTCATAGAGAACGTGTTGCAAAACTATATTCTAATCAATGATATAAATGTATAATTATTCTGAATGAGCATTATGTCATCAACATATAACACTAGGAACACAATAGAATCATTTTGTTAGTACTCATATACAAATGCTTCTTAAGAAATTTGAACATATTCAAATCCTTTAATTGCTTCATCAAGATGAATCTTCCAACTTCTTAAAGCTTGTTTAAGTCCATAAATTCATACATTCAAGTTTAAAATCCTCATCTTATTATTATTTATATATATATATATATAATTCTTCAATTCTTGTGTGTAATTATAGAGCAAAACTCATCAATGTAACATTTTGAGCAATTTGCACTTAAATGATCTAAAATTTCACATTTTTTCACTTATATGACTTGATTTGTAAAATGTATCACTTAAATGATCCATAGTTTTAAAAACTTTCACTTAAATGATCTAAAATATAGAACATTAGTTTTTTATTAGAATATGCTGGGAATATTCCCATTTTATGAGTCATGTTATACTATGAGTTCATTTAATACCCCTCATTTAATATCCCTTATATGTCATTTAATTACAGCCAACTACCCTCCTATTTTATATGAGCTTTGCTATAGGGACCCAAAATATAAGACCAATAGGGGGGACAAGTGAGGTGTCCACCTCTTATTGGATAATGAGTTGGCCAGCATTAATGATGGCCAACTCATTATCCAATAGGAGGGGGACACCTCACTTGTCCCTCCTATTGGTCCCATATTTTGGGTCCTTGAGGAATTTTTTATTTTATATTCATCTTCTTCTCCACAATTGGATCTAAAATTAACAAATGTATATTCCTTCTCCTCAAATCAATGTAGGGAATCATGAAGTCAAGTTCAAGATCAAGTGTAGCTTCAAGCACTGGGGGAGTTGACGAGAACATTGAATTTTTAACACCAAACCCCAAGAATCGAGCAAAGACTGAGTTTTTAGCACCAAACCCAAAAGCACAACAAATCCCCTCCGTCCACTTCAAAAAACCATAATCAACAACAATGTGAGCCACAATCAAACATATTCCCATAAAACCCCGCATTCAACTACCTATAAAATATACTACGCAACTAATTAATCTACAAACATGCAATTGAACTGAAAACAACGAGAGAGATTAGCTGCCTTGCACGTGAAACCCTAGCGCCAACAGTAGTCAAATTGCACGAATTCCACTTCAGCTACCTTGATTTCAGATTGCAATTCTCATTCCCCTCTCTAGAGCACAGTAGTTTGGAGAAGTTGGAGGAAATTGGGTGTTTTTTTATTACTATTGTTAAGTGTTTTAATGAAAGTGGGTTACCTACAAATTTTTGGGGGTTGTTATTTTGGTGTTAAGAGGGGAGGTGTATTTTGGTCTTATCGCCTTAATTTTTAATGACATTATTTTTTTAGACACAAAATTAGGGGTGCTAAACCTTATCCGTATCCGAGAAAATATCCGTAACCGTATCCGTTAGGATACGAATATGATTATTTAAATCTATAACCGATAGGATATGATTACGGATATGGTTTTGTAGTAAAATATTCGTATCCGTATCCGAAATATTCGAATATATATTAGTCATACTCTTACGATAGTTTCGATTCTTAGATTATGGATTTGTGGTTAATTTTGATGATCAAGATGTCTAATCTTAATTTTTCAATTATAATAGACATATTAACAAACTCTTTTGTATCACATGAACTATGTTTTTCTCAATACTATCTAGTTTTCTCATATCTATTTTGTATCTGCATGCATATCCGCTTATATATCCGCATGTATATCCGTAACCGTATCCGATTTTAGCGGATATAGTTATAAATTTTTCTTACCGAGGTATATCTGTATCCGTATCCGTATCCGAGATGGGTAAGCGGATATGGATATGATAAGCATCATATCCGAGCCGTATCCGGACCGAATGCACACCTACACAAAATACAATAGATCATTTAAGTGATGCGTTTTACAAGTCAGATCATATAAGTCAAAAAATATGAAACGTTAGGCCATTTAAATGTAATTTAACATAATATTCTAGAGAAAGCAGAGAGAAGCCGGTGGCAGGAAAGATCGGGAGCAATGAGACGCTCGTTCCTCTAGTTATTGTAAACTATATATACTCAACTTGACATGTACAACTTACACGGAAATTTATATAGGAATATTCTCCCGATTCACTGACAAAAAAGAACTAACGTGACATTTTTGAAACAATTAAAGTTGAAAAAAATCCTCTTGTCATTGCTCGCATATTTTGAGTGTCTGTAGCAAAGCTGAGAGAAATTAATATGCTGATATTTTTAAGTGCTGTTTTAGGCGGATAAATGGGACAAAACTATGGGTTTGTAGGCAAAGTTTCTCGCTTATTATTGTTGATCTCTCTCCTCCCTCGTCCAAGCAAGCGGAGGCCTACCCGAGCGAATGAGGCGCCCGTGCCCTCCTCCTCGCTCCGCCGCCGCACCTCACCACCTCTCTTAAGCAAACCGCCGCCGCCGCCGCGCGCCCGATCCTCCTCACACCAGGCACCCCGGCGACAAAATCGATCCCTCCCCGCTCCGGGGACCCCGCCCACCACGCGGAGGCCTTCACCCTCCTCCTCTCTCCCTCCCCTCCCCTCCCTCCCCCTCCACCCTCTCCACCCTCTTCCACACCCTCTCCGCCCCGCAACCTCCCCTCACCCCCTCTCCACCCGCCTCCTCTTTCCACCTCCCCTCCCTCCCTCCCTCTCCCCTTCCAACTCACCCAGATCCTCCGCAAGCTCTCCCTCTCCTCCCCACCTCCTCCCCCTCCCCTCGACTTCCTCTCTCTCGCCCTCGGACACCCCGCCGCCTCCTCCCCCCCCCTTCAACGCCCTCCTCGCCTCCCTCGCCCAGCGACCGCGACTTCCCCCGCATGAACCTCCTCTTCTCCCAGATGAAGCGCATGAACATCGCCCGGACGTCGTCACCCACGATCCTCGATCGACCACCTCTGCAAGTCCCGGCGCGTCGACGACGCCCTCAACGTGTTCGACGAAATGCCTGCCAGGGACGTCGTCGTCTGTAACGTGGTCGTTGACGGGTTGGGCAAGGCGGGGAGGTCCAGCGGAGCAATGGCATTTGGATAGGATGAGGGCGGAGTACGCCTGCGAGCCGAATGCTGCCACTTTTAACTGCTTGGTTGATGCTTTTTGCAGGGCGGGGGAGATCGGTAGGGCCTTTGAGCTCGTGGGTCGGATGGAGCGGGAAGGGGTTCGGCCGAATGTTGTGACTCTCAACACTTTAGTCTCCGCGATGTGTAGAGACGGGAGGGTTGGCTGCGCTCTTGATTTCTTTCGTCGGAAGAGGGGTGACTGGATCGATGCTAGAGGCAATGCGGTCACTTACACTAACCTCATTAGCGGTTTCCTGCATACGAATAATGTGGGCAGAGCTATGGCGTTGTACGATGAGATGATCGGAGAAGGCCAGTCTCCGGATCCTGTATTGTATTTTACTCTCATCTCGGGGTTGACCCAAGTGGGGAAAGTGGAGCAAGCTAGCTCGGTCGCGTTGGACATGAAGAGAGCTGGATTCCGACTTGATACGAAGAGCTATAATATCTTGATCAGCGGGTTTTGTAAGAGAAAGAAGCTTGATAAGGCATGGCTGATGTTTGAAGAGATGAAGGAGAGTGGACTTAAGCCTGATATATTTACTTACAACACCTTGATTGCTGCTTCGTGCAAGGGTGGCGATTTTTCAACGGCATGTCAGCTGCTGAGCAGGATGAAAGGTGACGGCTTTAGTCCTTCTGTAGTCACCTATGGTGCTTTGATTCATGGATACTGTAAAGCTGGTAATCTTGAAGAGGCCATAAAGCTTTTTCAGAGTATGGTAGTGACTCCAAATACTGTTATATTTAACATATTAATCGATGCTCTTTGCAAAGAAGAAGAAGTTGATGCTGCGATACAACTCATGGATTTGATGAGGAACAAGGATGTCCCTCCGAGTGTTGCTACCTATAACGCAATGTTCAAAGGGCTTCGTGCAAAGAATATGTCGGATGTGGCATTCAAGCTGATGGACAGAATGAAAGAGGAGGATTGTCTTCCTGATTACGTTACTATGGACATTCTTACTGAGTGGTTATCAGCTATTGGCGAGGCTGAGCGACTGAGGTCTTTTGTTCAGGGGAAGAGGGATGTGCCTCTTGTGAGAACAGTCCATGACTGAATCATTCTAAATCATCAATAAGGTTTTCTTGCAGTTTACAAATGGGAAGAAAAATCTCAGAATCAGGCTGAGATTTGCTCAAGGAGTGGCTGGGTATTTCCTGGTGAATGTTGGCTGCATGTACAAATTTGGTAGGATACCTTTTGTTAAACTGTTGGAAGTTAGCTCGGTTCCTTGTAGTTCCACTATGCTAAATTTTCCAGCCTAATGAAATTTCCGTCATCAATTGATTGTTTTAGTTTAAGTTTGGAATCGACTGGATTCTAAGGGATCATAGGGTGCCATGGGACACTAAACCACAAGTGGACAAGGAATATTACGGTTGAAGTATTTGTTGACAGCTTGCTTTCTCTCAGGTTAGCTCTTGTCTAGTCACTCCAGGATTAGCTTAGAGCACACAGTATTTGCAGAATGCAGAGGGAGAGGGAATAGCTACCTTGTAAAGAAAGCATATTGGATTTGTAGATGGCCGGGATGCAAGCTGCTGGAATTGTCTCAAGATGGGTATGTTGAAGTTTTGGATTCACAGGCTTTGAGTCAGTTTTATCAGCAAATTGTGCAGGGGAGAGTTGGGGATCAATTGCAATTGCAGCAGCATCGAGAACAGGGTTCCGTTGTGGGAAAAGATGATTCGCAAGATTCGAGTTTCGAGAAAAAGTTTAGAACTTTTTTTTCAATGTGTTTAGGATATTTATGTGTTATATGTTGGGAATTTTGATGTTTTTGCAGGTGTAGATTGATGGTGACCAAATATGTGTATGGAGGACATTTTCGGATTGAGGTGTGTAGATATTGTAAGAGTTTATTTCTAGTTAAATTCTTATTGACACTGTAATTGGCTGTTTTATGAACAATAAAGGTGGGCATTTCTTATGATGATGATAATAGTGAGGGTGCTTCTTTTCGTCTCAAATTGCCCTTTTGAACAAGTGTTGCAAGGAAATATGCATTTACCTCGGATGCTTTAACTTCGATATATTTGCTCATTTTTCTTATTAGCTTTTGTTTTCTTTTATTTTTTCCCCCTCTTGATTTGAGCATAGTCAGTCTACGTTGATTTATTTACACTTAATTATTTATGTCGCTTCTTTCCTGGTAATTGGTTAAACATGATTTTTGAAAGTGAATTCATTTTCTCTTCACAGTTTTTGTCATTTTGAACCATCTAAATTGTACCTGTTTGCATGATTGCTATTCCTTGTATATTGTTCATTCAAAATAATCCACGGCCTACATATGCTCATACGGAAACTAAGAAATAGAACCCAAGGTGTTTGCTTTACTTGAAAGAGATTTAATCCTTAAAATTCTTGTGAAGACTCTATGGCACCACCAATGCCTTGATCGTCCTCTGTCATAAACTAAAGTTCTCATCCCTATTGAATTTCTTAAACTTGAATTTTAGACCATAATACCTTATAACAACATACATGATCAGGAGTGAAAAATTACCGACACGTTACCCCTATTGACGTGGTGATCCTTGAAGGCTGCAAGTTGGAAGGAAACTCTATTGAGTATGGTTCTTCAACAAGTACTATAAAGATGAGCTGTAATAAAACTGATAGAGCTTCGACCGAAGGTGGTAAGTCTTTTCCAGAGTTTTAGGTATATAAGCAGGTATATTCCATGTTTTAAAAAGGGAGCATCTAGCCCGTCTAAGCCTAGGCGGTATCTAGGCCACCTGCGTAGGTCTTAGTAGTGCCTAGAGGAGCGCGTGCCGCTTAAGTGTAGTGCACCTTCTAGTTTCTAGTTGTAATTTCCTCCGCTGCAGCCTCCGCGTCCTCCAATCTCCTCCACTAACTATGAACACATCTACCTCCTCCGACTTCTAGAGAACCTTCTTAACCACCACTTAAACCAAGAAAAAAATGAACCTAGGCGCAAGACACCAGTGCGGCGCCTAGCAGTGCCTAGCGCTGTATAACATTGGCAAGGAAAAACATCTAGTCCGGTGCCTAGGCTGCCTAGTGCTTTCTGTAACCTTGGGTATACTCTTTACTAACTAGTTTTCTGTATACGTTGGGTGTATAGTTCCTCTATGGTTCTCACAAGACTTTATATTGTAGTTGCTTTGAGAGCACTTATGCTAGATCTGAGGAAGTAAATGTATACATTTTGTTGCCACTGTTTAGTGAATGTACAGAGAGAAAACAGAAACATCGAGAATCCTTTTGATTCCTTCCTTAAGTTGTTTCAGAAAGTCGTATTCTCTTGGTAGATTCACGTGTTTCCAGTAGCGATTCCTCCAACAATGTCAATTTCCCTTTAAATATTTATTAAAGATGACCAAATTCTAACTGAATATCACTATTTCATCAGATAACTTTTCTCAGACTGCTTACCAAGTTCTAACTGTTTCTAATGTACTGAAGCAGTATATGGGTAGTATATCCCGTTGGATCTTATTATTTTAACAGTTCTAGCAAAATAAAGGATGGACAAATTTTCAAAACAGACCTATTTGATTTTTTATTTGCAAAAAACGACTCATTTTTAAAATATTTATAAAAACCGATCTGGTTTCAGCCCAGACGTTGAAATCAGGTCGGTTTTTATAAAAAAAATTCCGAAACTTCACGGGAGTTCAACTTCCGTGAAGTTTAGTGTATTTTTAAACTTCACGGGAGTTGAACTCCCGTGAAGATTAATTTCTTCAAAAAACTTCACGGGAGTTGAACTCCCGTGAATTTTCAAAACTCAATTTTTTTAAACTTCACGAGCATGTCTGGGTGGAGTGGAGGACGATGAGGGGGTTTGGGCGGAGGTCGAAGAGGCGACGGGGAACGGACCTTCTTTGCGTGTAGGTGCTTTGGGATGATGAAGGGGTGATGATGGCTGATGAAGGGGCGATGGGGAACGGATCTTCTTTGAGACTCTTCTCATCTTCCTTCTGCTTCTTCTCCAATTCATTCGTAAGAGCGCTGTCATAAATCCAAAAACAAAAAGACAAACAAAAGAAAATAGAAGAGAGATCCCTCTGATTAGTTTTTAACCCAAGTTCTTCCAAAAGGATTTTTATCCATAAACCAAGAGCATCGGATGTGGAATCGCTTGAGAGATCCCAGGTTCTTCCAAAAGGATTTTTATCCTATTTAGTTTTTAACCCAGGTTTAAACAGTCCTTCTTGCTTGGGGCATCTGATGCTTTTGGTTTATCGACTGGATCCGCCATTGGAGGAGATGGAGAAAAAAATGCAGGAATTTGATCGGATTGTTTGCTGTGTTGGATACAACAAGATTTGTATCTATAGCTGCTCTTTTCTTTCCTTTTTTTGTTGTGACTCTTTAGAACGAGTGCTTGGGTTTGTTTTGGATGTGTTCGTTTTCTAAAAGATGATGATTGGGAAAACTTCACGGAAGTTATTGTTAGCCTTGAAACTTCACGGGACTTTGACTTCAAGTCCCGTGAAGTTTAGCAGTTAAACTAAACTTCACGGGACTTGAACACCCGTGAAGTTTCGGAAATTTTTTTATAAAAACCGACCTGGTTTCAGCGTCTGGACTGAAACCAGGTCGGTTTTTACAAATATTTTAAAAATGGGTCGTTTTTTGCAAATAAAAAATTAAATAGGTCGGTTTTGAAAATTCACATTTATGATTTTATCTCACGTGATTTTCTTTTAAATTTCATTCACAGGGAATGATGGCGTATTTTAGGTATTTGAAAAATGCCTTAAGTATCCAAAATATGAGACCAATGGAGGGGACAGGTGAGGTGTCCCCTCCCTGTTGCATAATGAGCTGGTTATGCTAGCTCATTATGCAATAAGAGGGGGACATCTCACATGTCCCCTCCAATGGTCTCATATTTTAGGTCCCTGTAGCAACGTTCTAGGTGTTTTGTTCTCTCATCTATATAATAAGTATATTTCCATTATTCCATATGCTTTGGAGTTGTGAATTTTTTTTGGGAAAAAATGCTTCCAGCCCTCAAAAGCCAAGGAAACATGCTTCCCACCCCCAAGACTTTGTCAATGGGTGTTTTACCCCCAAAAATAAATATTTTGTTCTCTGAGCCCCTAAAACACAAAATCCAAGAGATTAAAATATGTGAAGACCATAATACCCTTCTCTCTCTTTCTTTTTTATTAAAATATGATGAGGGTTATTTTATTATTTTTGTTTTCTCTCTCTTCTTATCATGATGTACTGAGATGATAGTTGAAATGATAGATGAGGATTATTTTATTATTTTTGTTTTTTATTATTTTCGTTGTTTGTATTGTGAGATTGTTAAAGTTATGGGTTAATTGTTAAGGTTACGAGTTAATTGTTAATGTTACGGGTCAATTGTTAAGATTATGAATCATCTCTCTCTCTCTCTCTCTCTCTCTCTCTCTCTCTCTCTCTCTCTCTCTCTCTCTCTCTTTCTCTCTCTCTCTCTCCCCCCTTCTCTCTCTCTATCATGATGTTACTTTGACGATATTAAAATGATTGAAGAGGATTATTATTTTATTATTTTTGTTTTTTATTCTTTTCGTATTTTTAGAATATTCGTTGTTAAGGATAATGGTTGGTTGTAAAGGTTATGCATTGTTTGTTAAGGTTACGGGTTGGTTGTTAAGGTTACGGGTTTGTTGTTATGGTTATGGGTTTGTTGTGTAGGTTACGGATTTGTTGTTAAGGTTACGGGTTTAATTGTTAAGGTTACGGGTTTAATTGTTAAGGTTACGTGTTTAATTGTTAAGGTTACGAGAGAGAGAGAGAGAGAGAGAGAGAGAGAGAGAGAGAGAAGGGATCCATAACCTTAACAATTGATCCGTAACCTTAATAATTAAACCCGTAACCTTAATAATTAAACCCATAACCTTAACAATTAAACCCGTAACCTTAACAATTGACCCGTAACCTTAACAATTAAACTCGTAACCTTAACAATTGACCTGCAACCTTAACAATTAAACCCGTAACCTTAATAATTAAATTTGTAATCTTAACAATTGACCCGTAACCTTAACAATTAAAATCGTAACCTTAACAATTAAACTCATAACCTTAACAATTAAACATGTGACCTTAACAATTAACCCGTAACCTTAACAATTAACCCGTAACCGTAACAATTAAACCCGTAACCGTAACAATTAAACCCGTAACCTTAACAATTAAACCCGTAACCTTAACAATTAAACCCGTAAGCTTAACAATTAAACCATAACCGTAACAATTAAACCTGTAACCTTAATAATTAAACACATTATAACCTTAACTATTAAACTCGTAACAGGTTTAATTATTAAGGTTACGAGTTTAATTGTTAAGGTTACGAGTTTAATTGTTAAGGTTACGGTTTAATTGTTAAGGTTACAGGTTTAATTGTTAAGGTTACGGGTCAATTGTTAAGGTTACAAATTTAATTATTAAGTTTACGTGTTTAATTGTTAAGGTTACGAGTTTAATTGTTACGGTTACGGTTTAATTGTTAAGGTTACGAGTTTAATTGTTAAGGTTATGGGTTTAATTGTTAAGGTTACCGGTTTAATTGTTAAGATTACGGGTTAATTGATAAGGTTACGGTTTAATTGATAAGGTTACGGGTTTAATTGTTAAGGTTACGAGTTTAATTGTTAAGGTTACGGGTCAATTGTTAAGGTTACAAATTTAATTATTAAGGTTACAGGTTTAATTGTTAAGGTTACGAGTCAATTGTTAAGGTTACGAGTTTAATTATTAAGGTTACGGGTTAATTGTTAAGGTTACGGGTTTAATTGTTAAGGTTACGGGTTTAATTATTAAGGTTACGGGTTTAATTGTTAAGGTTACGGGTCAATTGTTAAGGTTATGGACCTCCCCCTCTCTCTCTCTCTCTCTCTCTCTCTCTCGTAACCTTAACAATTAAACCCATAATCTTAACAATTAAACTGTAACCTT